TTAATAAGATGTTTATTATATGGCTGTGTCTTATATGCCAATTTTTTACATTCTTTGTACCTTTTTTTTTCTTGACCGGTCTAGATGCTAATCAAATTCGTGAATTCGGTAGTTCCCACTCCTTGTGAGACACAGCCATGTATAAATTTTCTGAGAGGTGCTGACTTGGAGATTTTTTTAAATTCAAGAGTTTCGTTAGTGATCATTTCCTTTATTGTTATAACCTTAACATGTGACTCAGGGGTGATAATGTAAAGAGAAATTGCTAGTTTCACTCTTAAGAGTTAAAGGGTTAATACAAGGACAAATTACACAAAAAAACTAAGTTAAACCTGAGTGAGTAATTGGATACAATAAATTTTTTACTCTAACCTTTGGACGCCCTCCGAATCTATAAACTGAGTACTTTTTGCCATCTTCACTGTAGGATAAGGTGTAACTTTTAACCCAGTGATTATAGTCAGCTCTTCCCTGTGTGGCAATCCCTGTAATTTGGACTGGACTATGGAATGATACCTTAAAAAAGATGAAAATGATGATGATGATGAGGTTAAGACAGTAATTATGATAGTCATAATAATAACGATGATGATTTCACTTCTTAGGAGTGAAAAAAATCTAGGCATTGCAATCATAGCAAATCTCTTGGGTAAGCATCAGAATGAAACTTATAACTTAATATTAGTCCGGCTTTTTTAATAGCTGAAAGACCCAGCACTGGTGGGTTTCATATTTTTGTTGGCATTTTGGTGGGAAAGGAAAAAATCACTATGCAGGAGTTTGTACCACTTGATTTTCTTTCATGCATTATACATTCGACTTAGCATGAAAATACTGATTGGTCGAGAGGGATTCTATCCATACACATATATTTTTAATAGCATGTGAAGTTAACAAGGTAAATGCAATATCTCCAGGGGATATTGCATTAATTATGATCAAAGTCGGCCTGGTTTCGAAGCTACTCTTCCGTATTGTGTTCTCAAACTCAGAGAGAAGTGTCTTCAGTTTTCGCAGATTGTTACCAGAGCGTTAGCCCTTCGTCAGAGCGAATGGGCTCTGACGAAGGGCTAACGCTCGAAACGTCAGCTTTTTAACTCTTTACGGTGGCCAGTTTGCAATTTCAACTTAGTTGATATTACCAAATCATAATTGAGAAGGCTGGAAGCGAGTTGTGGCGTCAGCTTTGCAGCCGCCTTTTTTGGGCGTGAAACGATTAGCGCAGCACACACCACCAAAAATGCCACCTCTTCTAAACATTTTGAAAACTTCAATACGAGATTGGTTTTGTTTTAGAAACAATTTACTCAGGAAAAAGAAAGAGAAATGTGGAAAGGTAGGACTAGAAAGTGAATTTTAAAAATAGTCTAACCCAAACCCGAACCAATTTCTCGGCCTGAATGCATTTAATTTTCCCTGAATGAGTTTCAACAAATGCATGTGTCATCGCAGCTCATATTTCCTTAGCCGTACTGCAGAAGTTCACGTGCAAATTTTGTTTCACGTTACATTATAGCTACATTTATGGGATAAATTTAAAGTTTCTTCGTTACACTTTTCAAGATTTTGTTCCCAGTGAAAACGTAAAATTCGCAAAGAATTTGAGTGTACTTTCATGTTAACAAGAAACTAAAATTACATTGTTTAATCGACTTTCGCCCCTCAGCCCTCCCAAAAAAGCAGCCCGCATATTCAGCAGTGTGAATAACAGTGAAGGAAGCTAGTCAAATTGTAAATTGGTTCGTAAGCCAAAAAAAAAGTTCGTTGTTTTAGGAAGAAAGGTAACCTGTGAGTATCTCAAAATAACTAATTCTGTAGATGAATACACTTCGCCGAATTTGCTCTTCTGAGTCTCTCTCATTACAGCGTTATTTTGGAGCATTCATGACATGATTGGCCACCACGCCTTCTCGTTATCTTGCGTAAATGCCCAGCCGTTGTCTAATGCCTAAAAGCAATAACTTAACGGAAAACGAGTTCAACTTTAGTTCTCTTCAGCTTCTTCTCCCCCCCTTCCCCCCCGCCTTCCCTCATTTGGAACGCTTACGCTCACCTGCAACCTAGCTTACAGTCTTTATAGCTTTCAAGTAACATGCATGGATTTAAGCTTAAGTTGTAATATAAACCTTTTTTCATTTTGGAATATTTATAAAGGGTAAGTATTGGTCTATGTGAGCCCTTGAATATTTTATCATCTCCTGTCTAACCTCCATCCACTGATAAAAGTTGTTTGTCCTGGCACTCCACGCTCCCACGAAGCTGTATTGTCTCGGCATATACAACCTTGCTCTCCATGCGGCATATCTTTGGGCATCCAATGCAGATGAAGCCTTTATTTGACTGTTCGTTATCCATCCGCTTTGCAGACCAAGGGGCTTATCACAACCTGTATATATTGGACGACACAAACGAGGTTTCAGGAGAAAAAAAAATTTAACCAATTTAAAAGCTTCTTTGTTTGAAGCACTGACCGTAGTCCGCGGCAGATTTGTGCCACAAAGACGACAGTGTCTCGAGATATGAAATGTGTTCATCATTGCTATTAGCCTGATCTGAAATTCACAATGTAAGCTTTCTAAGGTCCAATAAATAATTTTCCTTTTATTCTTAATTGCCCGGCCACAACGTATAGTTAAAATTTATGGTTTACGCGATACTCCGATGGATCTGGACCAAGGGAATCCGCCTTGTAGTTTGCACACTAACAGACTTTCAACATCCGTGCACTCGAACAAAAACCTCGTGCACTCGATTAGAATTTAGACAGATTGAAAGCAAATTTTTTGTTGTTTTTAAAAATATTTTTTTCAGGAATCAAAAAAATGTTATATACCTGAAAACCTCAATTAAAGAGAGGTTACTCCTCAATCGAGCGCTTCGCAACAAGCACCTCCACCCGACTTTTCATCTGAATTTTTCTGTCTCGTCATCGCGACCGCCATCAATTCTTTGCTCAATGTGTGTAATAGCTTGTCTTCTGTAAATTTGCAAAGTTTTATGGGATATGGCCAGGGAACAAAGTTGCTAGGGCTCGAATAAAGTAATAATGGGTTTTTTCGAGGTCCCACTACGACACCTATTGGTGACGTCATCAAGTATCCAGAGATGGCTATGACCCGGACTGTTAACTGTTTAGAAATTTCAAATTCTCATATTTTTTAAGCTAAAATTGCGCAACGAAGTTATTTTTCGAGAATAAAGGTTTTATTTAAAAGGAAAAGAGGGGTAAGGCTGCTGGATCATTTACCACTTACTTCCGCCAAACATTGGTTTTTCTCCAAAGTACGTGATACGTCTTCTACAATAAAAGCTGCGGGCATTTCTGTTACTTGGACCAATCCATTTAGCGCCTGACGCTATTGCGTTCACTCTTGCACCGCCATTGTTTCCAGCGTGAATCGTTGCAGCAGGCCAGTTGCTGTCATCAAATGCTGTGGTTTGCCAGCTTCGTATGGCATGGGTGGTGCATTTCCACTCGTTGTCGGTAACAATGCCATTTGCAAACGAAGCGATGAGCCCTGACGAGCCCCCTCTGTTTTTCACATAAATGGCAACCACCTCAAGATCTTCCCGGAAAAAGAAGCTGAAAAAAGAGCATTAGCTTGTGATAGATCAAGAACTGAAATCAAATGAATGGTGAGATTGCAAGTGCGGGAACGCATATATTCTCGAAGAACAAAAGGAAAGGGTCACAGAACGCTATTTCATGTGTGCTCGACTCAAACGTTTGTTTCTTTTTTCAAGAACAGCAATCATAAGATCCAAAATTGAAAGTAAAACTCCCGTGTTCTTTTTCAAAGAACTTCTCAGAAAAATAAAAAATGGAACGCTGTGATTTCCGAGATAAAAGAGAGAATTCATTTGCCTTCACATCCCGACTGAAAAGATCAGTGGTAAACGCAGGGTAATATTTATTTTTTGACTTCATGCACAATCTTTTATTGCAGAAAGATTTGCTAAAAGAATAACCATAATGAATGAAGCAAAGATCGTAATAATAAATTGGTACCTCTGTGGAACGTTCCAACGGCCATTATCAGTCCCTAGATATCTTCCATTTGCGTAAATCCAAGCTTGATCATCTCCAGTAATCTTACCTTCTAGCCCTGTTGAAAGTCACCAACACTTTTCTCACGCAGTATCAGTTTTCAGTTTATGGATGCTTTTCTCGTTATGGTTTAATTAAGATGACTGCCCCCTTTGAGCTACTAAAATTCATAATCTCTTCCCCAGTCGCGATTCAACTGAGATATGGCTCTTGGACAGCTTTTTAAATCTTACCTTTACAGTATCCATATTTTCTATCTTTATCATAGCTGGGCGACAGAGAGCACCACTTGGAGTTAGCCCTGATTGAGACACATGAGTCGTAAGTTTTTCCTCTATACGTGAAAGGAAAAACACAGCATTTGTTGTTCGTCGTCTTCATTCTGCACATAGCTACAATAAAAAGATATGCAAAGGTGGTTTTAAACAGAGCTTGGTTGCTAACGAAAATATAATCCATTTGAATGTACGTTTCACTCTAAGAATCAAATTATTCCACTATATGTGAAACAAACATTATGGACAGTCTTAAACAGACGTGAATTTGTTGCAGCTGCACGCTTCTTTGCCTCCATTCTCTATGTGGCGGACATCGCTCTAACTTGGGGTAACTAGTTGGAAAGCACACAAGAAGCTAGAGTTGCCTTAGGCCAGGCCTCGAGCAGTTCTTACGCATTTTCTGTTTTCTCTCAATGAATCTTCAAGCGTGCCCTCTGAGTGCTCCAAATCGAGATGAACGCACTGACACAGACGCTTGAACCAATTTTTCATCCGGCATAAAATTGTATTTTTGAAATATTTGAATTCCTGTTTGGAGTTACCAATTCGGAGTCCACCCGAGCTATATGCTGTAAAGTTTAAACGAGTATCTTTTCTTTATTTCTTGATTCTCCTCAATAGGCTAATCCGAGCATGTTTAGTGGTGTATAGTTGAACACGAAGGGAAGTTCCTTAGCAAAACGATACGCGCTTTGTGGAAAGTTTATCAACGTAAGAATAAACTTGTGGGTAAGTGAGCTTACTTCCCACAAGTTAATGTTCAGTGTCAATTTATGTAAGGGGCCGGAGACATTCATTGGTTACGAATACCGACGTGAAAGCTATTCTTAATGCATGTGAAATAGCTGATCGGCATTCATAATTGTCACCATAAGCTATGAGTTTACTCCAACCTTGGCCTTCCTCATTTGTATCAGTATCTTGTATAGTAAAGGTACAACGAAAAAAAGCTCTAAGTGTTTTCGTGGAGAAGTCTTTACGTCATTAAAGGCGATGTAAGAAAGTTCAAATCGCTACTGATTCACGTCTTTGTCAAGATGATTTCCATGGAGCCGAAGAAGAAGTTATGAGTGGTAATCGGGGAAAAAGCAAAATTATTAATTAGTCTTTGTCCAGTTGTCACTGTCTAGTTTCTGTTATTTGCATTGTTCACATGGAGATTGACACGAAGCTCAGCATCAAAACAAATACTACCGATACAAAGAAACTGAGACTGACTCCTCAATAGGGGAGAATTAAGAGTTCTTACCTCCATCCTCGGCTATGGTTAAACTGTTGTTTAAAGAGAAAGGGAAAAAGAATGTTAACAAGTCTGATGAGAAAAAAAAAATAGAGAAAGATACTCGTTTGGATCTAAAAAAAGAAAATTGGAAAAAGTTACGGACAATGATTTGGTACAAGTGTGAAAAGTACCAAGCTAGAAAAAAATTCTCAAACGATCTTTTGAACGGCAATGGGTCGAGACCTACCATAGACCCCGTTTCTACAAGCTTTGCTGTCTAAAGAGCATAGGTTCCTTTTCCGAGTCAGGTCAGAACATTTTGTCCAGGATATCACCACTATGATTTTTAGTAAATCGATCAAAGGGAAAAGTTCTTTTATCAGAAAGCGATAGAAAAAATAAAGAGCTATGAAAATGGTTGTTTAACATTCGATAAATAGATACTCAACTTCTTTGGAGATACTGGACAACTTTGTCCCAAGGGCAAGATCAAGAGTATCGTGAAAAGTACTATTCTTAGGGAAACTAAAGTCTTTGCAACCGTATACCCAATTCTGTTTAGTCTGTCATTTAAGCCGATAATTTTGCGTTTACATTTTACAAAAAATTTTACCACTCTGAACAAAGTTATTCTCCTCCTTCCTAGCAAGAGAGAAAAAGGCTTTGAGGACGAAGAAATAGAGTTAAGTGAAATAAACTGGTTCTTCCAATATTCTTTACTTACCGACAATTAAGCGCGATAAAGAGCAGGATTATTGCTGTGATGGGCATACTGGCGGCATGAGAGTTGATGAAAGTGAAATAGGAAGGTTACACACCGGAGCAAGTGGTTTTCAATATTACTTATTCAAAGAGTATGTCAGACTGATGGAGGTCAATTTATGAGATAACTTACCACACACAAACAGAAACGCATTTACATAGGGGTTTAAATTCGTTAAAATGGTTGTTTGCTTAGTTTGTTTGGTAACAATCGCGTTTGCGATTCTATTCATAGGATGTCAAAATGGACTGGCGAATCATCTTTACATGTTAGTTTTGCGCAACAGTTGTCCTCTCCTATGTGTGACCAGAAATGACGCGGCACTGAAACATAGCTCTGTTCAAATAAGAGAGCGTCGCACCTGTATACACCGTTCTGGTTGCGATCTGAAATCTAAATTAACAAAGAAACCAGCACGTCTTTTGTTTCATCCATCATACACATTCGTTATCGTCATCTTGGTATTTTGAAATTAAGTCACGTACTAATTCAATTTTAGAGATGAAATTGAGGCATGAAAAAGAAAAAACTAAATCAAAAACTAAGATATGTTCAAATGTTTCTATCATTACCAATTCAGGTCACCGTAAAGCTTCCTGTAACAATTTTTCAAAAACAAAATTATACTTCCGAGCGGTGAATTTTAATCCTGCTAGGAAATTCTTTCCTTTATTTAAGAATTGATGCCGGTTGACCGAGTAGGCGAATTGTTTACCACACTCTTATTTTCCAATTTGAAGTGTTTTATAGTCACTGTTCAAATATCAAGCAACCAAGAAGTAAATTCTACTCCTTTAAATCGAATTTATTACCATTTGTAGCAAAACGGACTGTTTAGCGAGGTTACAATTTCATCAAAACACTGCAATTCAGAATTTAGCAGTCACTTTACCTTTTAAATAATGTCGTGTATCAGCTTGGAAAATAATGAATTTATAACTTTTATGAGGCGAGTAAATCTCGGCTTCCATTTCTATCTTTTGTCATTAAAGGCAAACCAAAATAATTGGTCTTGCTTTTCAAATTTCTCATCTTAACTCTGGGAGATTCAGAGGTCGGTTGGAAAGGCTTTGTTATGAAGGGGAAAATGGCTGAAAGTCAGGCAAGATGGAGAAGTGAACAAAAATAATTGGGAGAAAACAGGAGTTTCTATAATGGATTCTTTCTTTCTCTTATTTGTAGCTTTTAGCACATGAATACTACAGTAATTGTGATTTCCTGTATTATAAACTTTACAACAGATTTCGACAAAGAAATCTACTTTCTGGAAAAGGCCATTTTGGTAAAGAACAGAACAGAATTAAAACAACTGACTACTTATTTGAATGACAAAATCACCTGTTTTGTTGCTAAGATATCTAACAACTTTCATAATTATTTCTTTAAGAATATCATTGTAACGCCAGGTTCGCGGCGACTTTAGGAGAGCCAAAAGTCACTTGTCAAAAACTTATTGCGTTGAACTTTGCGTGCGGAAAATGGTTACTGGTCGAATAAGGCCAGAGATCACGGAAAATCAGCTGTGATTAACGATAATTTATTTACGATAATCGTACGTAAAACAGCGGTTCTCGCTTGCACTCTTAGTGACCAAAGGTGACTTAGTTTAATTTACTGAAAACCTGTATGCTAGCTCTGTAAAGCTGAACTAGAGCTACTGAAAAAAGGCCCCTTACATCATCTATATAAGTCCACGTGTTAAAGCTTTTCACGTAATTGGTAAGTAAACAAAAATGATGAATTGGCCAAGAGAAATTACGATAATCATTAAATAGAGTGGCCTCGATTTAACGTTTATAGAAATCATTGCTGGTATAAACCATTTCCATCAGTTATTCAGACAAAATAAAAATGAAATATTTAGTCTGAAACATATGCTAGACCTTTAAGAACAATGATATTCTTTTCATGTATGCAATGTGGAAAGAGAAATCATGTCAAGTCACGTTTCTGAAAAGAAATTTATTGACAACAGAATGAAATACCAATCTCTTCAAAGAAAGTTTTAGACTAAGAAGCTAAACTCTATCTTTTTCTGTACATCCTACACAGTACCTCCTTATTTGAAAGTCACTTTAACACTTTAACTTGAGAGATCTGATTGTAAATTCTCCTCTCTAGTTCCTACAAATTTCCTTTTTAGTTAGTTACAAGATTTTCGTGTTGGATCAATATCACTTCCATTTGATAAGTTTGAGTATTCTCATTACCTGTTTGCTTGATAATGTATGGATATTATAGGGAGAGTTTACATGTTGATCTGGGAGTTAAGGGGTTAACAGAGGAACTTAAGGGACAAAAGGTATAGATTGCATCAAGAAGTTTACAGTGCACAGACCTGAAATCAACTGACCTTCATTCTTGGCCAGTCAAAGAATTAAATGTACATGCTTTGGGTCCTATTACATCATTACTTAGATGTTTTCTGAAGTGACACTTGCTTTAAAATATCTTTGGTTTGCTGTTAAGATATGACAAATAAGTCATTCCTGATCTGGATGAGGCTAAAACACAGGCTGTCAACTCCACTGGATGAGTTAAAAAAAAAAATGACTTCTCTGCTACCATGTTGAAGCCATTGGTTGAGGATTTTGTAGATATGACATCACAACAGCTGATACAGATAATCTGGAAACAAAGTTAAACATAAGAATGCATTTAGTGTCCAATTATCTGACAATTTTGAGTCTTCTTTCTACACTTTCAAAGATGGCCCCCCAAAATCTCTTTAAAAACTTCACAGTATATATATGAAGCAACAGTTGACCAAATAAGACTTTTTCCATGTTTGCAGAGTCTGAGCTAAACATGAGGGATGAGAATTCAAAATACAGAGGATAGTTGTGAAAACTAAAGATCTAATTGAGGGTTTAGTCTTCCAACTTCTAACATGATTATTTGTGATTTAAAAAACAAATCATACAGCGTGTGTGCCGTACAGATGACAACTTGACAAATTGATCACTTTGAAAGTTAAATGATGTTTGGAGGTAAAAAACCCATAGCCTTTGTCCAAATATTTTGCAAATATTAATACTGCCTCCTATAAATTGCCATGTTCTTTGTACAGTTACAACTACTCACAAAAAACTGCTAAACATCTGCTTGGTATCTTCTGATGAGCGTGAGTTGGAAAACATAATAAATGAACAGTATACAGCTGCCCATGCTGCCCATTTAAGCTGAGAAGTAAGCACAAAATTAATACATTAGTAAAAATTTAATAAATTAGTAAAAATTCAGTCGCAACCCTAACCCCTTTATTCTTCTTGTTCCAGCATTAATAAAAATAACTACCAGTATTTTTCAAACCAGCAGACATTGAATATAAATGGGGCAGAAATTAGACACAAGGAAACACATTTCATATACTTGTTCCTGTTAAAGTGCTTGGCAAAGGAGTGAGGTGCGATATTGCAGAATATCATTGATATCACTTTTGATATATCAAAATTTTGTCATACATGTACATTTCTTCCAGTTTTTAGTGATAATATCATGATATATGTGACCTCTCAAGGAAAAATGTACACTAACGGCTTTCCGTTTACAAGCCGTTTGTCAGCCGTTTAGAAAAAATTTGCATTTGCAAAGGTTAAACAACATTTCCCTATATTAAGATATGAAAAATGATATAGAATAATTAAAAAGTGATTAGGCAACACTAAACAGAAGAATATTATTACAGGATTAAACTTCAAGAAAATGGATTTCTGTAAAATTAAACAATGTTGACTGTGTTATACTACAATTGGTGCACACAATTCAATGTAATAATTCAAATGTTATACTGCTAGCTACCCAATATTTATACTTAAGTCTTCTGTAACAGGTAGTCTTTTCAAGCACTTGGGTGTACCTGAACCATTTCCTCACAAAATGTAACTTGGTTCAACAGAAAAATTATCATTTTTGATAAGAGGTTATGATATTTTGATATTCCCACTGCTAAATGGCTTGACTGTGTCAAAGGACTTGAGTTTTGGGTAGAATTATCATGATAATATCCAGATATCATGATAATATCAAAATATCAATAGCAATATCATAATATCAAATGTTGGCCCAGATGTGACTAAGTGTCAAAAGGCTGGATATTTTGATATATTATGATTGTAATACCAGATACGCTCATCATCCAAGCACCTTCTGGTTTCTCCATCCTATAACTTGAAAACATATGGCGCAAGATCCTTCTCTGTAGCAGCACCATCATTATGGAATGCTTTGCCAAGTGAAATTAGAAATGCTCAGTCTGTGTCTGTTTTTAAAAGTAGATTAAAAACTTTTCTTTTTAGAAAAGCCTTTTATAATTAATATTAGCTGTCTTAAGTGTTAATGTTAAAGTTTTTGTAGGCGCCTTTGAACAGTAGGATACTGGCGCGGTATAAATCTTTTATTATTATTATTATCATTATTATTATTATTATTATTATTATTATTATATAAGCATAACTTGAATATCCCAGCTTATAAGTCAGCTTCTGGGCAAAGGACATTTTTATACCGTGCAATGAGTTTCTGGAATTCTCTCCCATGTGAAGTAAGAGAATGTGTCAATTTGCCAACCTTCAAGAGACATTTAAAGGAATTTCTCGGTAGTTTCTTTTAGGATTGAGACATATTTTAAAGTTCATAAGTTTTGATTTAGTATTGATTGTAATTAGTTTTTAAAACCCATTTAGTGGAAAAATAATAAAGAGGACCCAATATCAGAATATCATGATAATATCAAAATATCAATAGTGGTATCATTATATCAAATGTTGGCTTGGATGTGACTAAGTGTTGAAAGCCTTCATATTTTGATATATCATGATAATATCAGAAAAATCATGATAACGTCAAGATATCGATAGCGGTATCATAATACCAAATGTTGGCCTTGATGTGACTAAGTGTTACAGGGCTTGATATTTTGATATATTGGGATAATATCAGAACATCATGCTAATATCAAAATATCAATAGCAATATCATAATATCAACATTTCAAAATCTCAAATCTCACTGTTAATTTGGTATTTTGATATACCCTGGTAGTTATCATGATACTATCAAAATCTCAAAATCTCAGAAATTATCTCACCGTTAATCTGATATTTTGATATTCTGCAATCCTGCACCTAAGTGTGGCAAAGGTGCCCCCCAATAAACTTGATACAAATTTAAAAAATATCTCATTTGTTTATTCCTGGTGAAAATCAGGTTTATTTCATGGATATCCTGATATTTTGCCTAACTGCACTGTAAGTCAACTAGTATAATTAAAAAAAAAAGGGAATCGTAACTATTTACTACCGTCAAACTCATTATAGTGAGTATACGTGATGTCAGTTTTAGTAGTTTTAGACACTTGATGTGTCTCTACAATGTATTTATACATGAGCGGTTATTAAGGATTGAGAATGTACCTCATCGATGACATTTGAAAATCGGTTGTGTTTTCATACTACCTTCAGCCAGCTAGCCAGTTTTACAAGTGAAATAATTAGCATTTGCCAAGGCTTAATTAATAAACCATGAGTCAACAAAAAAGCAAAGAAGAGCCATGAAAGGACATCTGCAACAGCATAAAATGTGCGATCTCATGTCTTACAAGCACTGCATAATTCACATATGTCTTCGGTGCATCGTTTATTCCAAGAGCATGGTTAGAGTACCTTAAAAATCTAACAACTTAGAGATATGCGTGCGACTTTCAACGCGGGCACGAAGATATCTGAATGAGAGAGATCCAATGTTATTGTGATCATTCATACCTTCATCAAAAGCCCACACATACTGAATATCATCCCTAGAATGTTCATATACTCTGCTGTTGGATCATCTGTAGGCTTGATAGTCACTGGCTTGTAACGGAAGATCTTATTAGGCCTTCTAGGGTCTTCTTTTGTAGAAGAATACGAACCACTAACGGCCGGCATGTTGAATCGACGACGAAACTTCCCAGCAAGCTTTACGCGGAAAATTCAAGATGGTGGATGGGTCAAGGGGCAATAACCAGACGAGACCAGACCTGATTAACAAGGATATGCATCCCTATTTGTAGCAAAGAATAAACCGCCATGTGAGGTCAAGCCTAGTCATATTATACCTAGTTCATTTAAACCCTATTTTTGTTGATAAACTTATGATGTGTCTCAAATTCTGTCAGGCGTAACGGGCTGACACGAGTAAACCTGGTGACCAAAAATAACTCCTTATTTAAATGTTCCACGTGCTCTTACTCATCCATTCACGCAGCTGAGCGTCTCTTGCAAACCATGGAAAGCCGCAGCTCTTCTCGTTTACTTCATATTGCTTTTTCAGTTTTTTCTTTTGTGTGCATCGTAGAAGGAGAGAAGTGTAACACTCTGAATGGCAAGTGGTACAATCAACTGGGTTCTGAAATTTTCTTAGAGCATGGCACTGATGGTATCCTTTATGGGGAGTACAGAACTGCAGTGGAAAGGCGCAATGGCTCTTCTGGGGTGAATCACTCTATTGTGTTAGGTAAAATATTCCCTCGCATTTTGATTGAGAAATTTGAATGTGTACGTCAGGTTGAGTTTTATACCCGCAATATTTCGACATCGCGTTTGCTTTCTCAGGAGATTTCTAAAAATATAGTTCTTTACTCTCGGCAAGGGATTAATTTAAGTTGATTGTTTACATATAACTTTGACATTACTTCTTAAAAAAAAAATAGTTGGTCAAACAATGTCGTTATTCACGCACATGATAGACAGAATGCATTCCACGTTCGTTTCACGTGATTGTGCGACGTTCGTCGTACTCGAGAAGAGTGAAGTTGATGGCTCTACGGGACAGCTGACGTATTGTATTATAAGAATTTTATGACCTTATATGTTTCTTTTTTGATTTAACTTTCATGCAAAGAGGCTTTCTTGTCTTCTTGTTGAGACAAATTGTGACCTTATCCGTGCATGACAGACATGCTCCAAGCATGTTTGTTTCAAATGTTGAGAAGCAATATCAGTGACAAGTTGTGACTGCTTCCATTGGAGGAATTTGTGACGAAATATGACTGGGCAAGACTTCTCTAAAAATTTCTACTTCATTATGCATACAGGGCTTGACTAGAGAAATACAATTTCTGACAAAACAGTAGATTACCTTTAGGACTACATCTTTTTTTTTTAGAGTAGTAAGGGGTTGTAAGGAAATATTGCCAGTGAATGGTGTTATGGGGCATCGCACTTTTGTTTTATACTAGATTTAAGTGCTTTTTTTTTTTTCAGCATTGAGGCTTGTGATTTTAATTTCGATACTCCTAGAAAAATTGCAGATCATTTCTTTATGATATGCTTGCATGTTCTTTGCTTTATCTTGAAAGTAATCAAACAATTTAGTTATTTATTAACAACATGTGATTCGTTAACATAGAAATGATCTTTGTTTGTCTTGGTGATGCATCACAAACAATTCACTCCTCATCTACATGTAAAGTCACATGCCAAAAGTAAAAAAAAAAAATTACCATGTGAAAATATGCATGTGACACATAGATGTATGTGAAAACCCATAAGCAAAACTTTTTTTTTTAAAGCTATTCTAAAAATTTTTACTTTGCTCATTATCTTCACACACACCTTGCTTCACTTTTGATGCATTTGGTTGGTGTATGTGTTGTAGTTCAATTTTATCCTTGGTTCAAATTTTATTTTCCTTTGTTTCAAACTCTCACTATCATACATTAACATGACCGAGAACAAAGGGAAATAACATTTGAACCAAGGATAAAACTGAACTACAACATATGCATGCAGACTGCCTGTAGGTCTATGTTTATGCTATTTAATTTGGTATCAATAATGAAAACAGTACACATGCATTATACATACCAAGGTAGTTCAGTTCTTTGAAATGAGAGTGCACCAATTGAGGTTAATTAGCACTGATTTTCAAATTTATTGAGAAACATCATTCCTCCAAATGCCAGTAGCTTATTGGCACCCCACAAGAAAGTACCTGCTCCTATTGAGTGAGGCTCTCACCTAAAAGTGTGTATTTTAGATTCTGTTCCAGGTTAGAATAATATCTTAGAGAGTTACTGGTATACTCATTTGAAATTATTTTGCAAATTAATCTTGTAATTTTTTTTCTTTTGTTTTCTTGAACAATATTTCTACATTGTATTCATTACTCAGTTAGCTTAATTTACAGTTGTACTTGTTTTATATCAATTGCACTTGCAATTGATTGTACCACACTTTCTATTCATTTACTGTAGAAATACACTGTAACCACCACTTGTGATATTGGTAGAACTCTTGAGCTGTTGTTCTCCTAACATTCTGTATCATTGACCTACCTTTATTACATCACAAACTTTATTAAATCATTTTGAATATACTTATTCGTACTAAAATACTATTTAATCCATTCCCTTTTTTGTTATAGGGAATTTCAGTGTATGGCAAACAAGGTTCATATTTTCTTTTCCTTGTCATAGGTTCTGCACCGTATAACTTCCCTAGTGCAGCTTTTGCTTTTTCAGTTGTCTGGCGAAATGGTACCTCAACAACAGTGTGGACTGGTCAATGTTTTGTCCGCGAAGATGGCCATGAGACACTCCTCACATCATGGCTACTGCGTTCCACTGTCGAAACCTGTATAGACAAGTGGAAATCAACCATGATTGGTCGAGACACATTCACTAGATATGAGCAGCTTCATGGTCCTCGGAAACCAGATGAGGGAAAAACAGAAGGACAAACAGAAATTGATAAAATAATCCATAGTTTTGACCCTGATGTCAAAAACAAACCTTGTAATTTGAATGGAAAGTGGTATAATGTCCTGGGCTCTGAGATGATTCTTAAACAGAGATTAAAAGATAATGTTATTGAAGGGGAATATCGCACAGCTGTTGAGAGAGAAACAGGTGCAGCAGGTAACAGCCATTCTAAGGTGTTTGGAATTGGACAGCTTGGTGGCTCAAGCAGCACATTTTCTTTCTTTGTGGTATGGAATAATGGTTTGTCTGCCACTGGATGGGTGGGGCAGTGCCACATTTGTGGTGAAAATAAAACAGAGACCATTGAAAGTACCTGGCTCTTGAGAAGCAAGATAGAAGCAGTAAGAGATAACTGGAAGTCAACTTTGTACAGTGAAGATAGCTTCACTCGCACTGAGACCACACCAGGGCCTAGGAAAAATGACAACACACATACACCTGACAGGAGTGGAGATGAACCTCCAAAGGCTTGTAAAGGTTGTCATCCTCTGTTTTCTTTTGCCCTTTTGGGCTTGAGTGTGCTAGTGTCTCTACTGTTGTAAACAATCTGGCAGGTTTACAAGTGATTAATGCTTGGGGGATTTTTGAAGTGGTCTCCGTTTTGGTTCAATAGTTTGGTTTTTAAATTTCTCCTCTGCTCAATGCAGATTTCCAAAACCTTAGTATTTTTTTTTTTCTGATAACAAATGATAAAGGAATAAAAAGCAGGTACTTACATACTCAATAACAAATATGTCCAACATTTCAATTTCATTGGATAATGTTATTATTGCATGGTGCAATTTATAGAAGTGAAACACTATAATTCAATGTAATTCTCAGCATATTCCCATTGAGTAACTTAGTTTTTGTTTAGTATTTTTAACTGTCCACTCTAGCTTGTTGGTGAAAATTATTAAGTCCTTATAAGAACTTTGATGTGATCTTTTTGAGCAATTCTGTGTTACTCTTTATTCGAGCCTTGTTTGCACTGTATGCGTTTTCTTGTACCAAAGACAACTCTATTTTCCCTCTGGAATATTCTTGTTGGGGTCAAGAATACAAAATTTGTCTTAAAAGGAAAGTATTAATCATTGTAATTCTTCCCAACAGGAATCATAAGAACTTGATAATAAGCTATTTGGTAAAAATATTTATTGTTCTAGTTTCATAACATTGTTCTAGTTTCATAACAGTCAAGTTATGAACTGCATGCAGTTACACCTTGTAGTTATTTTATTAACTGTCAACTTTGATCAACTTGAGGATACATTTTTGATAAGTCGCAAGCCCTATTTTGTCATACCTCACTTCAATAATTGTTGTATTACTGTCCGAGTAATACAATAATCTACCTTTTTTTTTTAAAAAAACATCTTGGCATCAGTGAACGACGTCAGTTATTGGAAAACCGCTTCACTCGCAATTTTTCTTACAGGTATCATACCCTTTTAACTGATGATATTTAATTCTGCATTGCAGCAGTTGGTGAACAAAACTATTTTGTATTTAACTACATGGGATATCACACAATCTCATATTTTTTAAATAACTGAATATTCCATGTGAACATGGATCAAATAAATGTGACTGAGAATGAGTTTTCAAAGAGTTAATTTAAGAATTCTGTGTCATTTACATTGTATTTAACCAATATTTAAGGGAATATCCACCTTTGTAAACCAGTCAGCAAAGCTGATCAGGAGAGTCTTTTAGAGTGCTACTCTGTGATGAACATAATAGTGTGCACTTTCAGTATTAAGATTATTTTGTTCAGTGAGTAGAGTAATGAGTTAAATACTGGTATGAGCTGTAATAAAATAGTTACAGAGTAAATTAAACATGAGTTTATGGTCAAGTGGGATTCACTTTCTGCAACTGGCCAATGTCTCATTAGACTACCTTGAGATTTATAAATTGTTTACTCCTTGCTTTTTTTGAAAGGTGTTAAATCCACATTACAATTCTATGTTGTGTAAATAGCTTTCTTCAAGGGGTCCCTCTACTTCACTAGCAATGTTTGAGATCACAGGTCCCCCCCAGCCCTGGGGGGGAGTCCTATGATATCTTTTGACCAAGGGATGCCGTCACCTGTCTACGTCGACAATTCCCCCCCAGCCCTGGGGGGAGTCCTATGATATCTTTTGACCAAGGGATGCCCTCTCCTTCCTCTCACCTGTCTACATAAACGGTTCCCCCCCAGGACTGGGGGGGAGTCCTATGATATCTTTTGACCAAGGGATGCCCTCTCCCTCCTCTCACCTGTCTACGTCAAAGGTTCACCCCCAGCCCGGGGGGGGGGGAGTCCTATGATATCTTTTGACCAAGGGATGCCCTCTCCCTCTCTCACCTGTCTACATCAACGGTTCCCCCCAGCCCTGGGGGGGAGTCCTATGATATCTTTTGACCAAGTGATGCCCTCTCCCTCCTCTCACCTGTCTACGTCAACTCTTGGAGAACGGTAGGGAGGAGAAACCTTGTTCACTTCGGTTAGACTCAGACATCAGGAAAGATGATGAAGCGTAAAAATAAAATTGAAATCCAGATCGTGGACGCATATTGTACATTTATTGATAATTGTCCTCAATACCTCCATTAAAAGTCAACTCGGTCAGGGACAACTCTGTATTTGGCCACAATTTTTTTTTTCAAATCTTATCTTTTTAGAAATCATTTCTACGATAAATGAGTTACTACGGGCGCCCTGATTAATCAAAACCTATCGTTTAATGCACTTGTAAAAGAAATAGAAAACTGAAACATACTGGGCCAATTATTTACACGGGGTCTGACCCAAACCACAGAATCAGTGGGCCTTATGCATTCTCTAAAAGAGGGTTGATTCAATGAAATAAATGTCCTCACTCTGTCAGCTTTCGGCCCCCTTGAAACTGTTCACAAAAAACAGATGTTAAGCTCAAACTGTTGAGCTATGTATGGATTTCCAAGGATGCAGTTTGTTAAACAACTGCTAAACTTTGTTTAGACAATCAGCCCCTGGTAAATGAAATTTTGATAGTTTCCCTCACAATGTGGAGATAAGCTATTGATACAAGCTGTGGATACAATTCATAGCCGGCTTGTCTATCCATCATAAGACAGACGATTAACTGTTCATTTATCTTTAAAACCACGAACAACAACATTTTCTATACTGTATTTTTCTTTAAGTTTACTCGATGAAAGCAATAGACTGCACTCTCTGTAGGTATACTGTATTCTCGTGTTTTCCCAACATCCGGTGTGCTCCGATTTAGACCCCACGCGATTTTGGACCTCGGCTAGTGCATGGACCCCCTCTCCCCCCCTAAAAAACGAATATTTTCACAGTTTTCCTTTATGAATGTTTCTTTTTAGTTCTGCAAACTTTTCTTCGACAATTCTTTGAAATGGATAAAGAATTATACCGGTGCGGTCTAATGCTTAAAAGGTCCCATCGAAAAGCGCGTGCGGGCGAAAAACGGTAGACTAAAATCCTCGCATGGCGCGAGTAGGACCGAAGAAAGCCATACGGCCCTGAGCTGCGAGCTGCGAGCTGCAAGCTGAAAGATAAATAATGGCAATAGGACCGAGTGGAGTCCAATTTGGTCAGTAACAAAATCGAGTCCGATTGGTTTATCATGCCGGAGTATGATTACAGAGAGAGTTAGACGACACCAAGACCTGTCACCCGTTAATCAGAACTTTGAAAAAATTCGAGAAAGAAACTAGACATCGGTTTTACGATTTATATGAAAAAAAAAACAACAACAACAACAGCAACAGTTAATTCGGCGAAACGCGCGACAGCGCGCATTCATGACGCTCTCTGTCCATTTGCACAAGCATGACGCGTGAACTGCTCTTTTATAGTTCTCAAATCGGGCTAGTGATAACTGATCAAGTTTGAGAATTTTGTTCTAGTTTTGTTATATATTTTTGATTAAAGGAGCAAAAGAGAGGGTGACGGTCATAAAATGAATTACTTATTGATTGCGTTAGGTCGGGCTGGACGGGCGCGCAATATTTTTCCCTCGGTAATTACGTCGGGACTTCCTTACGTTCGGTCCCTACTTTATGAGTTGAGCCAATTTTTGTCCTCTGCGGCTTTCTTACAAAGTCATAAGTATAAATCATTATAATTTATTACTCTTTCATTATTGAGAGTTGGAAGCAACCAAACGGGAGGAACGCCTTTTCCCTATGCCTTGAATTCCATTTTTAGGTTCGTGAAAGTTGTTTCTGCGATATCGAAATGTACATGTTTTCCAACTAGTTAATAGCGTATTTTCAATTTGCCTCATGTCCTACGTCGTTTGTCATTTGCTTCTACCATGAGTGTAAATAGTTTAGCAGGTGATCTCTGTGCATTAACCCTAAGAGCACAATGACATGCTGATGACAAGTCTCATAAGAAAGTGCTCCGTGAAATGAAAACTGAGCAAATCAAAAAGGTCTGCTGGTAGCCTGAAACCCTGCTAACAATCAAAATTACTAACCCTGTTTCTTCTCACAAGACATAACTGAAATGACAGCAAGGTCTCAGACAGCTTTCGATGATTGATCTTCCAGTTTGATAGCGTGCGTTGACTGAATTGTATTCAGGGAGAACTTTTAATAGAACCACTTTATTAGCTATTTCCGACACATTTAGCCTGATATAAGTATCAAACGGCTGCAGAAACTAAGATTTTGAATTAAATGTGAGCCACAGCAAATGTAGCAGAAAATTGCTTAGTTCCTATTGGTAGTTTAAGAAAAGAAACTGTCAAAAGACAAGTTATTTTAATGGATTTCAATTTCCGCAGGATTTACAATTTCTTACTCAACTCATATGGAACATTAGAAAATCAGTCGTCAGTCACAACTTTTAAGGACCGTTTTCTTGTTTAGTATCCAACATGATTTGCACGCGATATGACCTACCAGTCACACTCATAACCATCTTAACGTCTACTTGCTGTATTTCAGGATGTTTGGTTCAGTTGTTGTAGAAAACCTGGCCATCATTTTAGTTGTGGGATACATCCATTCACTGTAAAGATATAATATGAAACGCATTACAATAAGGGGCACGATTTAATAGCATTAACTTTCCAGGCAGTGGGCATCCCTTCTATATTTTTACAAAGCAAATGACATTTTGTCAGCGATATTCTCCAAGACCAGGAGCATATAACCTTCTTCTAACACTACTAAAAGACTGTTTCTGATTCATCTAATTCGACAGGTGGTCTTATACCTTCTTCAAGAAGCAATGATTGGTTCTTGAAGAAGGAAGAAAAATCACCCATTCGTTTAACAAATCACATCCTCAAACCAACTCAGTAGAAAAAATAGCCAGGGTCGTTTTATTTCTTTTTCATCCCAAAGGGTCTCTTGTGAGTGTTTTATTGACTGTCGTTCAAAGGAAGAGACAAAACACGACACATTCTTTGAAATAGTTCTTTCAAAGCACCTCTAAAGTCTGGCATTCTAATAACATAAACCCACGGATCAATAACAGCACTGAAGTATGAGATATCAGAAAAAGCGAGCCAAAATTTTCTTCTGAAACCGTCGCATTTCGCTTTTACGATATTAACTTCGTTGGTCACAGGGATCATGCTGATGAGAAAACTCGGCATGAAGAGAACAATAAATAATCCTGTGATGATCCCAAACGTGCATGCTGTCTTTCTTTGTCGCCTGTTTTCCGCCATTTGTTGAGCATCTGTGACGTTTTCATGCACAGGAAATGTATTTCTTGTTACTTTGTAGATTTTGTAATAGCAAAAAACTATTATGCAAAATGGTATGAACAGAGAAATGATACCTCCACTCGTCCACAACTTAACTAAGTGTTTGATAGGAATAAGGAGAGCTGCAAACACACCCATGAGAGCAAGAAACCATGAAAGCATTATCATGATGATGCACCGATTCAATGTCATTTTAGCATGATAATGTAAAGGCGAAGTAATTGCGACGAATCTATCCACTGCAACGTTGCTCAAACTGAAGGTTACAGATGTTGTAGTGAAGAACCATACAGCAGTCTCCATTTTTAAGAAGGCATCTTCGGTTCTCGCATAATTTCGAACAAAGTACAGATTAGCCGTGATCCCCGAGAGAAGTTCTGCTGCAGCGAGAGATGCCATAAAATATCGGGCTGTAGGTCGCAGTGAGCGAATGTATCGTACAGTTAAAATAACTGTAAGATTTTCTGCAAAGGCTAATAATCCAGACGTCCAGCATATCGCAGTGAAAGCTCTGATGAATGTTAGCGACAGATCATAGCAAGCCATAGCTTGACAATAAATTGTGCTCGGCCTATAATTAAAACGAAACTAAAAAAATATAGTAACCTTTTAAAGCTTTTTCTAGACGTGTGATGAAATTGTCAACTTTGCCATAAGTTTTGAACAAAATGATTTCGCAAACATCTTTCTCTACTCGTCAACCAATCAGGTGATGACAAATTCAAATAACTTATCAATTAAAAAGAAGTTTCTTGTCGGTGGTCTATTTCAGCTGTTCTAATGAACAGATAAATAATGAATTTAGGACTAAGAGGAGTCGAATTCGGTTTGTAATCATACGAGCGACAAAAAGGTCGTATACCACCGCTAGACAGGAGTCCGACTTGCTAATCACATGTATAGCGCTATTTTCCATTGGGACAGGAAGGGATGATGTATTGTCAGGACGCGCATTTCCCTGCCCGCGGGAAGATTTGAGATGAGTCGTGGAGAGGTTTCCGAGGGGTCTGGCGCTAACATCATCGCAAGATGCCTTGCAGACCACGCGCAGGGTCACGTTGCTCAAGGCCTCATGCTTTTCCGTATCCAAGCGCTAATAATGAGGGTCTGCTGGCATAATTTTGACGAGTGCTTAAATTAGGCCACTGCTGATCAATAATGATCTAGAATTTTATTACCGTTCTGACTTATTACAGAATATCACTTTCTAGTCGCCACAAAAAAAAAAAAAATTCACGACGTTTCCTGTAACGAGACAAATTACACTGGGTCTACTGTTACCAGGATCCCTCACACAAAACTCAGCAACCCGATTATAGGAAACCAGCAATGAGTTCCAACTTAATTCTTTGCCACTTTTCCTTACTTTGATCCTAAACACTGATTGGCACCACTGACAGATTTAGCCAGAGTCACTGTCCGGTTCGTTTTCAATAATTTGATTGATTAATAGTGTTCAAGTGATTTGGTAACAGTGAAGGCACTTTAACTTACACGTCAGTTAATGCAATAGAATATTAAGAACTTTATCATGGCTCTTTGAGTCACTTTCATCAAGGGAGACACAAAACAAGATTACGCAACAAAAACCATTACGCAGCTTACAGTTTAAATGAAT